TTTTCTCAGCGGGTATGACTCACTTATCTCCCCCTTCCCCACCTGCAGCTACGATATGGCTAGATTTTCCTAACTTCCCACCACTTTTAACAGATCCCAAAGTTTTTCCTGTTTTTCCTCCCAAAAACCTGTCGCCAAGCGAGGTGGAAAGAGGTCCTATCAGATCAGTCATTGGAGACACCGGGTTGAATTGTAGTTGTTTACTACTTCTGCACCGGCACCAAACTAGGGAGCTATGTAGCGCTATGAAAAAACGGAAAGGCCAACAATCAAGAAAAACTTCTCGTGGCTCGAATAACTTCCTATCACGGTTAGATATGACCCCATCGACTAAGTATGACCTCTCCCCCTACTCTCCCCCACCTCTCCAAGACCAAATACGACTGCGTGGTGAGATTCTCCCAATGACGCTGTGAATATTCTTAACTTCTTTGAGCCTTTTTCAGGGTTTTTATATATGCTCCGCCAAGAACTCTAGTCATATGTATTTGTATAATGGGTCAGTTCCATTCGAACTTTGATTTTATACTTCAAATTATGAACCACGCCACTATTTACGAAGATGCATTCATCTTCTTAGCCCTTCAGAGGGAAAATTCTGATCCTTAAATCAAGTTTGTACAGTTGTCACTGTTGACCAGAGGTGCCTGCATTATGCGACAATTTCAGTATTTGGCGTTATTGGAAGTGCAGCCGCTACATTTTCGGCGATAGTTGAACTGTCAACAACCAGCTTTTCGTTGCCTTGCTACGTCAGCCTGTTTATTCACGAGGTATGCAGATGACTTATAAATATTACCAGTCGGATCACCCGGCTGCCGCCGGGTGCTCCTCCTTCTGTTTCACGGCGCTAAATGTGCAAAATGATGACAGCAATTTTTTTTATTGAAATGCAGGAAAATGAGTTGAAAATAGCTCAACATCAGTCATTATCTACCAACATCTGGTCCCCCTTGCTTACTACAGACTTTCAACCGTGAGAAGGCTGCACCATATCATTAAGGACCGCAGTTGCGACAACAGAATGGGTAAAGTTGAATTAGTCCGGATGAGTCCTTAACAACCGGAAGAGGCATAACTGCAGAGTAATGGGTGGCACTGAAAAGGAGAACTCCACATTGCTTGTACATATAAAAGTTTGTGTCGCGCGGACACGGAGAGCTCGAATGACCACCGACAGGACGCTCCCACTCCCAATTGTTGGGTTCCCTCCTTATTTTGCTTTAATTGCGACCGCCACCTCCTAACACATCACATAGGAGAGCAGATTTGCGAAAATTTTTTGATTGGTGAATTTCTCGATTTTCCCGTTTCAGCCGCACAATATACCCCCCCCCCCCGCTCGACAGCATTGCATGCATCTAAAAGCAAACACTTCATTGGACGACCTTGATTCTGTTGCCATCAAAGGAAAGGGTTCACACACTGAGCCTCTAATACTCGGCATTAAAGCGGTAAGAAGTGATAAAAATGTAGCGCAGATGGTATCTTATCTGTTTTTATCGATTGATAAGATTACCTGTCACCCGTCATCAATGTCCTCATCACCAAATCTCTATGATTTGGTAGCGTGAACCACCTTGAACAGCGACGACGACTGCAACTTCACTTATCAGTCTCTATCAGTAGTTATCGCTTCCAGTCACCCACGATTCATGTCCCCATCTCACCCTCTATATCACTTGCTGAGACGTACGCCTCACTGATGCTGTGACCTGCGCTGTGAATACGAAGACCTCACCATTCTAACGCCCCTTATCGAATCTTATCAGCAGCTTACAGTTCTTGTGACCCACTAATGATGTTCTTGGCCCATACCCTATATCATATCTTGGAATCAAGAGCTAGCTGATGCTGTCACCCGCGTTATGAATATGGTGACCTCCCCTTCTAACGCCTCTTATCGGATCTTATCAACTGATATCACTTCCTGTCACCCACCAATAGTGTTCCCGTCACACCCCCTACATCACTTCTTGGAACCAATGTCTCACTGCTACTGGGACCGGCGCTATGAATTTCGTGACAAACAGACAGACGCACACACACACGGACATAGCGGATTATATAAAGTAGGATCTTAGTGAATCGCTCACTCCGACTGGTATTTCATCACATTTATCACTAGTTGTGATAAAATGAGACAGGCATGGGTGCTTAGGGGTAGCGTCCTCATTTTGAAGTTGAGCCGATGATGGTACTCACTTATGGTCCGCTTTCAGTGGCTCAAAAGCACATTCCACGGAGCCGATGATGGTACTCCCGAAAACCAGGTGGCGGAGGGTGCTTGAGTAGGCGTGCGTCGCGAGCGAGCGAGCGTATGTGTATATGTGTGTTAGCGAACCTAATCATGAATAAAAATAGAGGAAAACGGTTAAAAATTAACAGAATAACAATAACATAATAGAGGAGAACGGCAACCTTGGGACTTAACGCTCCCAAATGACGACGCTCAGCAACTGTCCATTGCGACCCATACAACCATCCTTCACTTAGAGTTTTGATTCTTATCAGTAATCACAAAATGTGATTGCTTATGGAATCAACGGGATCAAAGTGTAACGAGCCGACATTGAACAAAATCAGAAATATGGATCCGAGCACGTTTCCCTCCCTTCACCTATTCATATGAGATTTCAAGATCTTCGATTTTCGACTTCTTGCGATTTCAAGATTCAAGATGATAATACCTTCCTTATACCTGGATGAGGGAATGCATAACACTCACAATTAGTGCGATACCTGCAATTAAATAGGCTAAGATTCAAGATTTACTCCTAGGTTTGATTGAGCAGAATACTGCATATTAGCAAAATGTGAGCAGCGGGCTTCATACATAATAATGTGTGTTCTAAGTAGCCCATCAATCATTAAGTAATAGCGAGAAGCAATGAAAACGCATGAGATAAGGGCCCTCCCTCTGCGGATGGTTTCTTACACTCTACGGGTTGGTGAAGAAGTACTGACGCTGAGTGCTCAGGCGAGGAATTAGAAATCAGAACGAGAGGTGACGAAACGAGAGGAACGAGTAGGACAGTGGACATCAACCCAGATACCAACTGTGCACTTCTGGGCCGTGATATGCGTTCGATATAAGGCCGTAGCAGTCCATTACTCACTTTCGAAGACTTCAGTTCCCTCCCAAAACTAAGCAAAGAAAAACGAGTGAGTGGTCGAGAGACAATGTGTGAAACGTGAGGAGGTACAGGGCACGTGGGGGGGGGGGGGAGTATGCGCCGCCTACTTATGGAGCCTGGTATCGATCGGTACTGGCCGCTAGGCTTTTCGGAAAAAGTAGAATGGGAAAGATTGACGGCAGCGCCTGTCCTCCTTATCCTATACTCTTTCTGAAAACAATCCGCCGGCGCCGATCGATTGCGGTCCGCGGTTGCGTTTCGTGCGTATAGAACTGTTGTCATCGTAAGCATCCACGCGCCTTACAGCACCTTCACGCGCATCATCGCGAAGTGTAAATGCTCCCTAACGTACCGACAAAAACGTCTTCTTAGGAGCCTGGAAGATGGAAACTGATTCGTAAATTGCCCAGCCAGATGCCAAACTACTTTGCGAAGTCTTCGAGAGC